ACAAACAATCAATCAATTCATATAAATTTGATGGTATAGAAAAAGTTTAAAGAGAAAAAAATAAGTTTTTAACTTCTTTTAACTTTTTCAAACGAGTACTACTTACTTTCTGCAAATGTCAATGTATTTGGGATCATGCACTAGTTCACATCGTCCTTTCTCAAGACGTGGACAGCGACCAAAACGCCGATAGAACAAGCAAGGGGTATTGATTTTGCGCATCTTTTGTGCAAGAAATGCAATGCTACGTTGTTTTGCGTTGCTGTAAAGAAAAATTATACAAGAAATTACGAAAGCTGAAACAACAGAAGAAAACAGATAAATAAGAATTATTTTTAACAATTAATAGACCTTTTTGCAAAGATGGATTGTGCATGGGGGACTTATTGTGGGGCCTTCCAGATAGCCTGATGTGCATTCAATTAATATTTTTTACTAGTGACATTTGATATCCTTAAATTATGCATCTTGTGTAATAATCCTGAGACAGCCTATCCAAAATCAATTTAAACAAATACAGAACACTTCAGTTTTCAACAGAGAATACAAACGTGTGAAACGCAGTCTCAGAGCATGCATCAAAGCTGAAGGAGGTCACCTTTTTTGTCAGAAAATGGTGTGATTTCTATCAGGTCTACATATTTTAATATATTTCAAGAACTTTTTGGAAAATAATATCAATAAATATGCATTTTAACTAATAAAATATTTAATACATTTGAATAGTTGTACTAATAGCAATAGCTCTGAAATGGACATGTTCCTGATTAATCTTCATACAAATTTTTTATTGTATTGATGATTCTTGAAATATTTTAAAAGTTTATTTACACCCCATGAATATTGTCCTATCTTACCTAAGAACATTCCTTGCGGTGTGTGTATTTGTTCTGACCAACACAGTTGGAGTTTTCTGAATATATGTAACTCCTCCAATATCAACACGACTCACTCGACTTTTCTTTCTTTCTGGAGATGATGGAGAAGACATGCCGGAATCTACTACACGTTTCAACGTCTTACCACACTTATCCAGTACAAACTTGTTGCCCCTCATGTAAACAGTAAGCCCAGCACTTAAACTCTGACCTGAAATAAATTCCATATATTTCCAACAACTACTTTTTGATAAGTACATTTTTATATGAGAATAAAATTGTCATTGCAGTAACAAAACATTAAAAAAATAACAAATAAAAAAGTCTTTAAATTAAAAAACTGAAGAGAATATGCAATGTACAAAGATATTATTTATTATTGAAATGTTGACATAAAATCATCAAAATGAACTTACGCTTCACAATAGTACGTGGTTTCAGAGATGAACAAACATTCTTTTCTGATGATCTACTAAGAATAAGCTTGTTACGGGATGATTTATATAGAAGTCCTCCAATTCTCACAAGGGCAGAGTTCTGCAAAGAATTTCTAGATCCTGGATTACAGCCTCTGCAAAAGGTGTAATATTGTATGAAATCTGGAAGTATAAAAAATACTTGCCTGTGCAGCCAACACAAAATAATACTTTTACCAAATCTCAACAACAACAAAATCAATTTTTTAACAAATTTTTGCATATGTTTGTTAACTCTCAATTCCTAACCCAATATTTCTTTTTCTAGAAAAAAAATGCTAAAATTCTCCTTAGATCCTAATTTCAAAAACATATCTGCAGATCAAATAGCAGATTTTCAACCCCCATCAGCATCCAGAGGTAATTTCTCTAATTAGAACAAATCAAGTTATAGAAATATTTAATTTTATATGAAATATTTCTGTTAAAGATCAACTAAAATAAATGGGAAATTCAGAATTAATTTTATATTGTATAAGACAAGAAAGATATTTAAGAAATAAGTGTTGAAGTTATTTAAAAGATCCATCAAGCGTAAGCCTTCTGCAGAATTTCTGTATGTATTATAAATAATGGAAATTGTATTTATTATAATCTGAATAAATTGAAAGAAGTTTAAGGTCCTGCGTACAACAAAGCGATATATTTTTAAAAGAATTTGCTGTTGAACTTACATCCTTGAAAGCTTCTTATGAGAGATGGCAACTTTTTGAGTTGCACGAGGAGTTCCAGCACATGTCCAAGTCCGGTTACAGAAAGGTGATTTTCTGAGGGGAGAAAGAAGCAGGTGGCTGTGGACCCGACTTAACTTGGGAGGTGTAGATGTGCGGTGGTCCACTTTGTACTGACTTCGACCACTACTAGGCTTTCCCTTCCGAATCGTTTTTGCTGTTCTACGATCCAGATGATACTTTGAATTCACCCCCAAAACAGTCATGATTGCAGTACTTTTATATTTTGAACACACCTTACGTGCAGTGCGAATAAGGGGAGATGATTGAGAAGATGCTGACATACGTCGCAGGCGATACCGAGATTTGGTTACTGTCTGGGAGGTACTTGTAGTATCAGATTTCGATGAGCTTGATCGACGGGTTTTTCCTGGTAATCGGACAAGTTTGGTTCGGCTAACTGCAAGCAATGTTCCTCCATGGGGAGTTTTAATGGTTTTTGTAACTCCCTGGATATTTGTCGGGGTTACTGCTTTCCTGCTTGGTTTACAGGTTACTGTACTGTTCACAAGAGCTTTCACCAACTTTGTCTTGCTGCGGTAAACATATTTTTTTCTTGATGTGGGAGTTCGTATTGGCACTGATATATTTGTTACCTTCTCTGATGAAACTTTTGGAGTAACCTCTGTAGGTTGAAGTTTGGAAATACTTGGCTCAATTAATGGAACACACTGTTCTCTTTCAGATTGTGAAGTGCTTTCCAGATGTTCATTAGTCATGATTTCAGGACATTTACGTAAAATTTTCTTATAATCTGTAGTGGCATTATTTGCAACTTTGTCCAAAAGCCTTGGATTTATATGAACTGATTTGCAACGGAGAGAACCAATTTCTCGCTGATTACTTTTAACATTAGTAAAGAAGTTAGGATTTATGTGAACTGATTTAACATTACCTGCCACTTTTAATGTTTCAGGGAGTGAATGTTCCTTGTGTTTCACTTTATCAACATGTATAACTTGCAGATTTCTAGGAGCTGTTGACATTTGGACTTGAACTTTGGGTTCTATTTTCACAATAGTTGCTGGAGGTTCTACACATATTTTAGGAGTGCTTTGTGATTGGGTACGATTAACTTTAGAATATGAAGTTTTCAAATTTGGAATTGGCACTCTCCGATGGGATCTTTGTAAACTCATATTTACCGTCTTCTGGGAATGGTAGGTTGATGCAACACTACGTGATAAGCCATTCTTATGCTGCCCAATAAGTCCTATAAAGTTAAAAAATGTGTATATGAAAAATACAAGTTGTCATGACAAAATAAACCTTACTGAATAAAAAAACTTTCAGTGCTTGAATAGGTAGAAAAGGAAAGAAACGAAAATACATTTATAAACTATCTTCTCTTTCTACAACCCCATCAAGTTAATTAGAAAGTATTTGTGTTTATATATGTACATTTATCAACTTAAGACAAAATATTTTCTGGAAAATTTCTACAGGAAATAGAAACAAAATTTTACATAACAGTAATTTATTATTAGCCCAGAAAAATATGTTTATAAATATGTAGTGAAAATAAAAATAATATATAACAAATACGTGAAAAGGAATACATGTCATATCAAATTTACAACCAAATAAAAATCAATTTCCAATATTTGAAATTACATTAACAATATATTTATTTAACAGTTTTTAAAAATAAATATTATTTGTCCCCGTTGGATAAACTTTATAAAGAGTACATTTTTGTCTTTCAGAACAATGATAGCTATGATATAAACGTGGGGAGACAATGATTGGCAAACAATCTCCATCACAGTCACGTTGTCTTCATAGTGTTACATGTCTGGGACAGCCAATATTTCATAGAAATTGGGATTTAAGATTTAACACATCACTAATTTCCACACCTAAAGGTAATATTCTCAACTCTCATATGCATATGTCACAACACATATGGCATGCAGATAGATGTTAACCCAAACACGCAATGTGCATCTCACCACATGTGGAGCACCCCGCAGTTCTCAATTTCTTGCAAGAAAAAGAAAGATGTCAATTTTCATCAAAACTATATTTGAAAATTCATTGTATTTTTTTTGTGAGTTAAATTTCAAGAAAATTGCTTGAATAATATTAGGTTTTGCAAAATATGTATAATATTGTAAAATGCAAAAATAATATATGTAAACATAACAAAAAATTTGAATTTTGTAATAGGATTGTCATGATTTGTCTAGATCACAATTTTGAGAATTTAACACAGGAAGACAAAAAATACATAATTACATAAGAATCCAGACTACTTATTATCCTCATCATTGAGTCTAAGATCGAAATTGAAGTGATTAAGCAAAGAAAATAACGAAATTTTGAATTAACTGCTGACAGTTTATTCATTCAGACAGACATATCTGACATCTTTCTTTTTATTTTTCAATCAGTAATTCCATTTTTATTATAACCTGAACATAATAATTAATGATATGTACACACCCAACTCAGGCGTTGCAGCAACCTGGGCCACCACTGCTAGGTCGCAGCCACAAATTGTCAAAAACAAAAAATAGTATTATAAATTCAGGTTTTGAGAAATTTACACCATCTGCTTTCATATGATGAATTGAAATTTCCCACTGAATTCAAACCCATTAAAACACTTTGTGATCTACAGCTTGTCATATTTAACCTACAACAATCATTGCAAAATCCTCAGATCTCAATGAGAAAAACATATTGAAGGTAAACACACATACATACAATGGCATTTGTTGTCAACTAAATAATTTCATTCTAGGTAACAGCATTCTCAACATTAAACATTTTTAACATAAAAACTGAATAAAAATGTATTAACACATATTACATAATTTTCACAATGAAGAAGGTGGGGAAAAGTATGTTAGTTCAGAGATTTTGGTTGTACACTCAGATGGGTATCAACAGACCCATTAGAAAACAAATGTCTGGATGAAACCAACTCCCTTATTATTAATTCATTATAATGAGTGGTGGAATAGTGAAGGGATTAAATTCCTTCAATAAGAAGGTCCTCATGAGGTCTGAGAAACGGGAGAAAAATTTAGAAAATGAAAATTTTAGAATAGAATGGGAGACCATGAAGGGGTCACCATGTGCAATTTTTGGCTATGTGCAATTATTACAACTGGACATCATTACTCAAGGAAGAAGCCAATTTATTCCTCTCATATTTATTATAGTCATTAAGCTACACTATATTCTTGGCATCCAACGTGTGTATCAATCGAGATTAGGTCTATTATGTTTCCAGAAGTCTTTGCGTTTTGTGAAGTCAATAATCTTCTGCATTTCAATTATGCAATTATTAATTTATGTAATATCACTTTTTATGTTTTTACTTCATTTCAGATATCCAATAGTTCATCCCTAAAAAAATTGTCTTTTGAAAGACAATAAACTAATTGTAGTTCATTGTAGTAGAGGAGCAAAGCAAACTAAAACAAATTGAAAGACTGCCTTGCAAGAATCTAACAATTTTTCTTCTTCTTCCCACACAAAACCAATTTGATCAATCAAAAACCTTTTTGAACTTGCTTTATTTTGCAAATTCCATTTCTATGACTAACTCCAATCTTAATGAAATTGAAAAACCAAATTGCACACCACAAAAACTATTGAATTGTGTGACTAGAGGTGGAGGCAACGGCACCACAATTTGTAACTCTGGTCGGTTTTAAAATTTGTATTAAGATGTCCTATCTGCCAAATCTTTTTTAATAGCATATTTTTAAACTGCAAAGCAAAAACTTTAAAAACAGAACAACATCCATATTCCTATGATTGATTTGACATGCAAACATTTGATCCCAGCCCAGAACCAGTTAACCAGACAGATGCTCTAACCAACTAAGGCATGGAATCAAACAATGCTACAAATTGTCATGTTTGCAATTGATTGCATTGCTCAGCGGGATAGAGCATCTGTCTAGATAATAGGTCTCAGGCTCTGATACTCATGGGTCAAATATTTACACTTCATGTAAATTAATTTTCGGTATGAAATATTTGACTAGTAGTTATTACTATTACAAACACAAAAGAGAGAAAGGGCTGAATCAGGACTATCAGTAGGACCTCTGTTCATTGTCATATTTAGTGTAATTGGTACAGATGTGAGTAGTAGGCAGTGCCAGAAGGTGCAGATGCATATATTATACAATTAAAGCCAAGGCCTATTGAAATACCTCGTAAGTATTATGATTCACTGATTCTCTTAGTAGACCGATGTGATTCTGGTGTGTGTCTATTATGGTTTCTTTTTAACTACATACATAGTGGTTTTAACAGTTATGTGATTTTGGAAGTATTAAGTGTGCACTAAATATTACTGTGAAATGATGGTGTTGGTTCTCCAATAAGAAGTTTATTTGCTTTGTGTCGTATGGTAACATGCACCTATTATTACAGATCTAATACAGTAAACAAAACATTGAATGTCTTATTAAAATGTAGTTCATAAATCAAATAGACAAGAAAATCATTTACAGAGGTGAGTCACTAACCCGCCTGCTAAACTTTCATTCAGTGCAGGTAATACAAGCACAAGTAGTGCTATTACCTTAAGTAATAGAAATATCCTTTTAACTATTCAAAAGTCTGTTTAATAACCAATAAAGGAAAAATCTTCAATTATTTAATTTTATGAAATGAAGACTGTTATAAAAACTAAATGAATCACTCATCTTTAATGATAATTCATTTAGGGCTACGTAAGCTACCGAACTGGTAAAGATCGTCCTGGAAGATAAGTGTTTTTAATTTGTTATTGTATCAACTATTACAAAGTACCAAAGAAAGTATCAAATAATTAATATTTCTTACAATCGCAAAATCTTCAGCCTAAAAATAGGCCCTCGTTTACCTGGGCCTGTCCGCATAGCATGCCCGTTATGTTATGTCAATACACAGCAGAACAAAGAGGCCACATAAAAATTTGTATTTTTGTTTAGTTTTAATCGTCTACAATAAATGGAGTGAAAAAATACATTGCATACGTTGTAAATGATTGGAAAAGCAAGCAATGACTGGAGGCTTTCTTGAAAAGTGATGTCTTATAAAGGCGAACTGGTAATTATATGTTGGATAGACTCGAGGATGTTTATCGTAAATGCGAGGGCCGAAGGCCTGAGCCTCGCCGTGACTTAGATCTGGGCAAGCGAAGCGAGAAAGCTTGCCTTTAAAAGTAAATTGGTACTACAATGCGGTGGGGACAAAGTATATGAAGGGCAAACCATGAAAATCACATATCCGTGAGTTTTATTCATTTCTATTAGAGCACGTACAGTAATTAGGGCTTAAGCCCCGCCGCCATGCTTCTCTAAGGGTATACCGTATACTAAATTTTAACCGACTTTATTTTTTTCTATTAGATTTCGCAATACTGTTTACTACAGAATAAAACAAAATATATTTTATCACTGTATCATTCTATTTAAGAACAGAAAATGTTAACTAGCAGCACGATGAAGTTGGACACCATGGGTCAGATAATTGAAGTGAAATACGTGCAGGTGCCCACTCAGCAATTAATCAG